CCTGGCTTCATTTTCTCAGTGCAGAAACCAACGGGTGACGTCACGGCAGCTACGTCCATCTTTTATGCAGTCTGTGGTCTGCACGTAGGATTTGTTGTTGAAAATAAGATACCTCGTAAATGGGCTCAACTTTATTAATTTAGGCTTTTTTTTATTTGCAGCAGGTGGTTTTATAGCAGATGGAGCATTAGGACATATGTGGACACTCACAGCTTTACAAAAAGTGTCGACAGAGCTTTAAACACTAATAATCACAGCAGCATGTTAACGTGTGCTAATAGGTTCAGTTAAAGTTAAAGGATGACCAAAGTCACACAACTCATCCTGTCGAAAATCATAATCAAGTGTACAGTCGTCCTCAAACATATTCATACCCTCCTACTAAAGAAGGAAAAAGACATCCGTGTTTTCTGTAACTCTCAGTGAGACTTCTGCACCTGTTGAGTGCTTGAATTTGTCCAGGATTATCTATTAATGCTTATTTCAGTTTGTAGTTATTTGACTGACTATTGTGAGTTTTGCCTTTTCTTCAATAGAAGGGGATGAATACATCTGAGGACGACTGCACAGTTCATGACAGGAGGTGAGAATCAGGTGCACTTAACATCACCGACTGCTACTTCTTTCTTTTCTCAAGTGTTTGTTTGTTTCAGAAGAACAAATGAAAACTTTATGGAGAAAAGGGAAATCTCCACTGTCATCTGCATTCAGGACGTCAACATGTGAAAAAGCACATAAACAACCTGTGGATTATGAAGCTGGCAAGACTATAAATGTCATACTGAAGCGGCTGCAGCCTGAAGCACCGGGAATATTACTGTTTGTGTTTAGCTACCTCACACAACACCGGAGCGCTCCTCTTTCACCCAAGGCACCGAATACATGTGGTGTAATCAAGAATGCAAGCCACACTTTCAATTTAAATTTGCGGCCAAAAGCGAGACATGTGCCAAACTCAGAATTACTTCCTCCTGGTTTCAGGACTCCACCAACGAGCCAAGTTGCAGTTCACATCACTGTCTGTCGTGGCTCATACAAAACATGTTGGGAAGACTTTAAAGTGTGCATGACTGGCTGGTAACGCTAACGCTAAAGGAGCTCAAAGCTGACAGTTCTGCAAATATGGATGTTGCATCAAATAAACAACAAATCCTTCTTCACAGCAACAAAGAATATGAGGGTCACCAAATTAGACCAAATGTGAAATACGGCCACAATACATCCTTCTGATCCCGAGTTTTGCTGATGACATAATGTGTTGCAGAACATTATATCAGTGTAGTTTGACTGTCTGGATATAAAATGTCATCATTTTATCCCATTGAGCACTTAACATTTTGTCCAAATTGGGCATAAATTCTTGACGTGTTTGGGAAGATCCTCTGTTCTTGAGATTCATGACAAAATGAAAACATATATAATCCCTCCTTCCTCAGCCTCAGTTTCATCTGGGGACACGTGGTGTTTTGTAATAATTGCGGAGCTTATCTGAGATTTTAATCAATTGCAAATGTGCCACATCCGTAGTTTGTCGAGAAAAAATGTACCCGTAAATTGCCCACAACATTTCACCAAACACAGAAGCGCGGTGATAAAACGAGTCCTGTGTGAAGCAGCATCTGTGAGACTTTGTTTGTGCCACACCTTCCCCTCGGCTCAGTGATTGTTACGTAGCAGCTGATTCAAGTAAAACAAACTTTGCTGATCATTTGCGTGAACCAAAGACGTGGAGAGTGACTTCTAAATTAAATGTCATCCAAAAGGTTTTTAAAAAGCTACACACACTACGATCACTGCTTAAGTATTTATACAAGTCTTCCCCTGAAAGATTTAAAACACAACTTTTTGTTCCAGCGGCCTGTCTGGACAAACAAGGTGCGTGGCAACGTGGGGACGACCGTTTCATTCTTCCACCAGGCACGGCCATTATTTCTGAGTGACTCATCACTTTCCATCAGGTGGCATCATCAGTCAAAGTTTGAGTGGATGTAAATGACCTTTTTTTCCCCCTCCTCCCTTTGGCTGTGTGACCAAAATAACCGGCGCCGGAGGAAGGTTAAAATACGAGAACAAAGGATTCGGTTCTTGAGTGAATTCCAACTCACACACAGAGAAAGCCTTCCCCGCTCGGAGCTCACCTCCAATCAATATTCTCCTCTGTCCCTGCCCGTTTGATTGAGAGGGGCGAGGCGGTTTCATGTGATTGCATCAAATCATCAGTATCACCGCAAACGAGTCTCACCGCCGCACATCGAGCCACAATCAACCTCGCTCAATTCTCACCGATCGCAGCCTCGACGTCTATTCTCAGCTTAAATTTGCATACCTCTGCTTTTCTTCCCGTCTTTGTCTTTACCATTCCCGCCTTTGTCCGTCTCTGCGACACCGATTCTCCTCCGAGTCTCTGCCAAAGAAATGCACATGCAGTCAACGGAGCATTTTGGAAGAGAATTGGTTTCACAAGTTTCAACTGTGTCGTGCTACAGGTTAAAACTCTTATCCTGGTCAGAATTAAACACCAATCTTTACTCTCTTTGATCTGCATCTTGCCTAAAACGTTACGTAACGTCCGACATGTGCCGCCGATACGTCGTCATGCCTTCATGACTTTTCACTTTCCACAGAGATCCCTTCGACGGGCCGGCACAACACGTCTGGCCACATTCGTCCCATATCTGTCTTTCATTTCTTTAAGTTTGTTGTGAAAATGTTCTCATGAAATAAGAGCTGATAATGCATGTGCGGTATGTCGTCTGCAAACAAATCAAGCGGAACAATGAGAGCCGTCACGACAGCTCACGTCTGAAGCTTTATCGCCGTCTCACTCACTTGCAGAACTGCATTCTTTAGCTTTGAGGGAAACATTTCCCACCGGATACATTAATATATATGAAATTAACCGATCTCTGCCAGGTATTTTATTGCTTTCTGCATATTTTTGGGAGACTCGGGGCCACAAGAATGACTGATTGATTTGAGTCCACAAATTAGCTGTTACAGGCAAAACTGACCCAACATGAGGAGAAAATAATCCAAATTAAACACAAAGTCAACTTTTTCAGCTGCTAAATATTTTGCTTACGTTTCTACACACAGGATTTTATTTCTAAACTATCACGCCAACTTTGTTTTATTTTGAATCCTTGCGCCGTTTACTGACAATGACGACTCATTTCTTGACATTTTAAAAATACAAATCCAAACGTATTATACAGTAAAGACAAATGACCGGTTAAGCTACGTAATAATATATCAACCGTGTATAATTTCTGCCAGCCTCTGTGAATAAAACGCTCCTCATTATTTCTGGGCCCACTGTAAATATTTCTCTCGCTGTGCTTTGGACCGTGTGTGTTAAAAGGCTGTTAAACTACATGATAATCACACGTAAATGAGGGATCATTATGTCCTCCACCTTGCGTGTAATTCATCAGACAGTGGACACGACGTAAAACTAAAAATAGTCTAAACTCTTTCTTCCCTGTCGAACACGAGCACGCAGCCAGACACTAAACAAAATGAGACTTTATTGATTTTGCGGTGCCATGCTGCATGATTGAGCGTTGGCCAGAGCTTTTAAGGGTTGGAAATGAGGTATGTTTAAAAGGTCTGTGAGGGGATTTGCTGTTCTCTTCGTGTTATTTGGTCCGACGGCAGAAAACAGGCAGATGCACCCTGAAGCAGCTCCAGAACATAAGTGGAGTTATTTGGTTGTTGACATGCTGGAAAGTGACAGATTACAAGATAAACATCCTAAAAATGTGCTGTGTGAGACGAAGCAGTGCAGGTTTGCTGCTCTGGGAATCCTTCAGGTGGCATGATGTAGGATTTTAGTTCAGTCAGACAATTATTGATCTTTTTAGGTGATGCAACCACTTCATCAAGGTACACGGTTAATAATTTTAATGATAACAAAAAATAAAAAGTGCACAACTAAACGCACTGAGCTGGGCTGAAGGTTCAGACGAATGAATTCAGGTGAAAAATTAATTTTGATGTAAATAGTTGGCATTTAAATAAGCAGCACATTGCGTCTACGTTGTGCCGTGTTCTTGCTAATGTACGAAGCATTTAGTCTGAAAAATCTATTTATAATTGTAAAAAAATCATATTCATGTTGATTATATAATCCAGATGATCCCTCTGACCATATTCGTGCAGCTCTAGATGCAGATAAAAAGTCAGCCTCACCCTTTTCTATTCAGCCTGGAGACAAAGGGCGAGTACTGCACTTTGTCACTGTATAAAAAAAACAAAAACAAACCCTCACCCTCAGCAAACAACGGAGCCTTTAAAGTAGAGATTACAACAAGAATAATAAGTGACAAGCAAACAATTGATTCTGTGCAAATAACAGTTAGAGGGCCAGCCACGCTTCAGTCACGTGAAACTTTAAAAACAGAAGGTGCATCCCTTTTTATTTGGAGAAGTTTGCACTTGGAGCAGAACAAGAAGAAGTTTATTGTTCTCCACAATGGGTTACTGTCAAACAAGCACAAGTAGTGAGAACCACGCTTTGAAAGAAGAAATAGCGCAGATTTGCTGCTCGTTCCGTTTTTCTGATCACCTCGAGCCTTAAATAAATGATTTCACCCATGAAAGCAATCAAATATGGAATGAAAACGTCAAAAATCAAAGTATCAATTGATTTTAGAACCTAGATAATGTGACAAAGCCACTGTGTGAAACTTATTGGCCTCAAGGTTTCCAGCTTCACATGACCGTCAACAAAGCAGCGGCAGACCTTTGTGGAATATTTGGTTTCGCCTCTTTCACCTCCACGGTACAATGAGCGCATCCCTCCAGTGGGTTGCTTTTGTAGAAAGTCATTGCCCTAAACCTCAGGCATCAAGACCAACAAGTTTGACCACCTTTCTTCTTTTTTTTTAACCCCAGAACGCTGAGCGACACTGAGCCATGCGAGCGCTGCTACGACACAGTGGGAGGAGCCGCGGATTCAGAATTTGGTATTTAATGTTGAAGATGAGGCGACGCAGGTGCAGGTCAAGATGGGTTTCCAGCAGGTTGTGTGGGGGGTCACGCTGATGAGCTTCCTGCTCTGCACAGGTGAGGGGAAAATGATTTTTCTTGAGAGTGATGCAAATTGTCGATATTTGGGAGCTTATATCAGGGCTGGAAGAAGGTTAATTAGAGGTGCATGCAGCTCTTTAAAACTATTCTGTGTAACATTATAGCACAAAGTCAGGCTTGTGTGTCATTTCACAAATACCTGTGGGTAAAAGTACAGTTCCTGATGTTATGATGTAATCAGAGCTCCACACTGCCGTATTTCAAACACACATCTCGTGCAATATTCAGACAGTAATCAGAATCCCTGTCTGTAACATCTGACAAGACGTTTGTTCAAGTTCACTTCTGCGGGTTTTACATCGACAAATTGGTGGATTCGATTTTTCCTGCAACCTTTTGGTCACACATTGTGCTAAAGGACACTTTGCAGAACATTTGTGGATTGCATGAAGTTTGCATGAACAAGCAATATATATTTATTCATGTGTTAGATTGCTGTGATTTTAAAGAACCTGACGCCGTCATTATCAAGACATTTTTTTAATTCTGAGACATATAATTGCTGTTAAATCATTTCTACATTTTTGCAGCAAATCTGACAAATCTCCAAGTTATTGGGATCTTCTTATTCATTTGGGTTGAAGCTAAGATGTGCCCCTGCTGTGTTTAACGTTGCAGCTACAACCATGACGTTAGCGTGAGGAGATTCTCCGACATGGTCAACAACAGAGCAAACTGTAGAAATCAGCGCTGAAATGTGACGTTTCCGGTTGTCGCATCCAGTTGTTTTGAATTCAGGTGGAAACGATTCTAATAAGTCGGGGTCAACTTAAATAAGCGATCAGGCGATTAGCATTAGATAGGCCTGTGTTCTTTACAGTCTCCTGCTCTCAAAGCATTCTGGGAGTCCGACATCACAGCAGTTCATCGCAAACTTCTCAACTGATGGCGAGGATGAATAAATTAGGCAGATGAATGTCATCAGCTGTTAGAATTCACTGATTTATTTACCTGAGCAGCCTGAGACTTCATGTCAAACGTGAACGTCGTTAATATCAGAGGTGACGGAGTTCCAGTTTGTTCCAGTTCCAGTTTGAAACTTTGCTTCGGGATTTTGACTTTGGATTTACTTGGTGGGACAGTTTTTACATTCAGTTAGTAGGTTCTGACCAAAGTGAAGAAAAAGTCCTGCTCAGTCAGCTGCTGTATTTCTGAAGTCGACAGAACGTCCTGCTCACAACCTCTGACCTCATCTGTGTCGTGACACATGCACATAATGCAAGTCATCATCTCACCTTTTGTCTCTGTGTTTCATATTTCAGGTTGTCATGCACAGCAGCCCGGTAAGCGATTGAATAAGAGCAATTGTACAAGTTCTTCAGGTTTTGTTTCCTCCCGTCAGTAAATGAATACAATACGAAACATGGATCTCATGTTTCAGTGACAAGAAAAAGATGTGACTGTATGCCATCATGTGTCTGTCAACACGAGGCGTGGCAGCGCATTGTGTCGTCCAGGTTGGACATCTGCCAGGTTCCCTTGTCATCAACTGTCATCTGTCAAGTGGATAAAACAGAAGCTGTGAACAGCAAATTAGAAGAACACTTTGCTGCCGCTATAATCAAAAAACACGACAACATCACGTGGATCTATACCTGCACAAGCCATAAAATCCCAAAAAAAAGAGCCAATCATGTAATCAGAAATGTTAAAATCCAAAATTTATGAAGAACAAAATATATATATGCAACTGTCCAGATACACATACGACTTTTTTTTTTCAATTTCAAATCAGATAAAACTTAAACTGAGCAAAAAATATTACAAAAACAAATAGAAAAAGATATATTTAATACATCAGAGATAACTAGCGCCTAGTTAAATGAACAGATTAGAGGCAGCACTGTTAAACATCTACAAGTTCACCTGACAAGTCACAACTTATCTCATGACACGACTCAATAATTTATTCTTGAACCTGACAATGAATAAAATGATTTAATATTTTTAGTTGAATAAATCTAACCATAGGTTTAAGGTCACCTGGGAATCTGCAAAGTTATTCATAGCCTCCCATTAAAGAAGGAAAAAAAACATCTGTGACAAAAGTAATAATAAATAAAAAGAAATCTAATGAAAATCATGACATTGCTTTTGAATTGTGACAGAAATATTAAAAAAAAACAAAAAAAAAACCAAGCATGATGGGACCCATAAACTAATATTTTGTTGAACAACCCTTTGAGCCAATCAGGTGTTTTCTGTAACTCCCAATTTATTTATTTATTATTATTTTTTAAATATTCTTTTCAACCACAATTCAAAAGTAGTGTCTCATTTCATTAAATTATAATTTAGCAAATTTTTATTTATTATTACTTTTTTCAGTTTCTAGTTTTTCGAGTGACTATTGTGAATTTTGCTTTTCTTTAATGGGAGGGTATGAATACATACGGTCACTTCTAACTGACAGACTTTTTTTACAACTGATGTATGAGCACTTGTTGCACGTTTTCCCTGATTTATTTATCGTCTCCTCTCTTTTGTCAGCCTGCGGGAGATCCATGGTCAACAGCTACAACGCTGGAGTTCGAAACGCAACTCCGGGAAGTTGGCCCTGGCAGGCTGCTTTGAGCGCTAACGGCAGCGTGTTCTGTGGAGGTTCCCTAATCACCGACGAGTGGGTGCTGACAGCCGCATACTGCACGGCACGGTGAGGAGTCGAGTGATGGCGCGGATAAAATACTGCGCATAACTTCAGCTGCTCACGCTACAATGAACTTAGTCTCGTGTTTGTTGTCGCTGAAAGCACGTTTTAAAAGTCAAACAAATCGTCTCCCACAAGCCGATTCTTGTCACAACAGGCTGCACCTATGACAACATTCCACCGGCGACGAATACCTGCCGGCATATCTGCAACTCCAACGCACCGAGAACATCGCAGGACAAACAAAAACAACAAAAAAAGAAAAATTCTCACAGAGATAAGATACTAAATAATTGGTTTTTAGAGATAACAGCTTTCAAAATATACGTGTACATCAATTTTTTACTAAGTAGGAGATTAACAATTATAAAATCTACAATGAGGAACTTTAAAGATCCATTTTTCAGGCCTCTACGAGCTCTGGACCCTCTGTGGTCATCGCAACATAGCATGTTTCACTGTTGGTCATTTTAAAATGCAGTGAGAATCTTTATATATTTATAGTGTTTCGTGCATTTTAGAAACTTTGCAGTTTAAAAGTAAAGCTGTAAAAAGCATGTGACGATGCTTGAGACTGCCATTCCTCGAGCCCCTCTCGAAAAAGAAAAACGGCCTCCCAGTTTTACAAGCCAGTCAGAATTTTCTTCAGCGTCTGTGTGAAGAAGTTGTCCAGCTTCAAACTTCGTCAACTCCATCAGGTTTATTTACTTTCTCGAGCCACTTCCGCTACTCTAAAATGTCTCAGCCCCAAGCAAAGGTCATAAAAAGTGAACGCAAGAGTCTTCATGCGCTCGTTGGAGGAACTGAAGACCCAGCAGATCACTTTTGTTTTTAACACAACAGTAGGAGAATCCTCCATATTAAAGTTGTTCATGTTAGCAGTAGCTTGATGCCACATAGGATGGAGCTCTGGAGAAGCTGGAAGGACATTCAGAAATGCTGGAATTCAAATTTAATATTATTATTGTTAGACTTTCACCTGAACAGTGCTGTAGTTCAGATGCTAAGCGTCTATGATCGATATCTCAGTTGAAAACCTGTTTGCGGCGGGTACTGCCAGGAATTCTGTGTTAAACAGTCAGCAGCTAGTTTGTTAAACTTGGCATAAAGACAGACAAGAAAACCCAACTCATAGTATCTGTAAAGCTCATTATTCACGTTAGATCACTTTTTAAAAATCCAAACAGCTGAAAAGTAAAAAGAACACAACAAAACGTCTGTTCCTATTGTGCCTGCGAAGAAAGAATGTTTGATTTTGGTTGACTTGTTTGCACATTCAGTCCCAATGTGGGTAGACTCTAGATCACATGAACCTTGAAGTGGATGTGAACTGGGCTCTAAAGCATTAAAACTTCTTTTGTGTGTTTGTTTGTTTGTCTAGCATGAACATCAATGACACAATGGTTCGTCTGGGACTCCAGACCGTGTCGGGTGTCAACCCCAACGAAGTCTCTCGGGGAATTGTAGCCAACGTCTGCTTCCCGGCATACGACCCGGAGACGTACGACAATGACATATGTCTTCTGAAGCTGTCGGCCCCGGTCAATTTTACAGACTACATCCGGCCCGTCTGCCTCGCCGCAGCTAACAGTACTTTTTACAGTGGGACTAGCTTCATCACTGGGTTTGGTTCAACTGGTAAGCTACATTTTTTTTTTTTTTCCTTCAATGCTGCTGCTAAGTTATTTGCTTAAAGCTCTTTGCTTTGAAATCTTTCCAACTAGACAACTTTGGTTCAAACCCCAACGTTCTGCAGCAAGTAAATATACCAAGATTTGGACGGCGTCAGTGCGAATGCGAGCAACCTAACGTCACAAGGAACATGATCTGCGCTGGAGGACAGGCCTCATGTCGGGTAACCACTACTTCTTTGTGTATTTGTTATATAACGTCTTGTCAATGACAGGGTGATGGTTCAGGTATCAGATGGAGCCGGTATAATTCTTCTGATACCTCCCGGTCAGATATGCACATGTCGCCCTACAACAAGAGCCACCGTTTGAGATTCGTACTTCAGCAGGGCGGGATTTGATCTGCGATCCATTTCTTACATGTCAGACTTTTTATCAAGATGCTCCACGTAATAGAGTTACGACATATGATGGAGAACTGCCAAATCAGATACCAGCAAAAATGCCACAGCAAACGTGAATCTGTGAAACCGGAGGCACAACATTTCTAACCGTGCATAAGCTACACTCTAAACTACAGTCTTTGTGATTCACTACCTGTACTGGACTATGTATGACCTCCACCCATACCTCCATGTATGACAACTGAATTTATTTCGACAGGGAGACTACGGGGGGCCTCTGGTGAACAGCAACGGTCCCAACTCCAGCTGGATCCAGAGTGGAATTCTGAGTGGGGATTACGACTGCGCCACCCCTAGAGGTCCTGGAGTCTACACCCTCGTGAGCCGGTACCAGCAATGGATCGAAGCCACCGTCACTGGCATGCCACCTGGCTTCATCACCTTCACCTCCCGAGGCAATGACAGCGACTTAAACTTCACTTGCCCCACACCGCCCCCCTTCACCACCGATGACCCACCGTACCCCACCGGGAGCCCACCGTACCCCACCACCCGCAACCCACCATACTCCCCCACCGGCTACCCACCGTACCCCACC